CCCTAAGCAGCAGAGGAGACCCTCTTAGTAGGTCCACCTCCCTAAGAAGTTCAGGAGCAACATCCCTCTGTTAGAAGATGCAATGTGTAGCCTGGGTTCTGGGCATGATACAAAATAAGAGATATTTTATAGTGGAGATATGGGGAAGATGAAGGAGAGTGACTCAACACAAGTGGATGAGGAAAAGACTGAGGAGGACGACTGTGGAGACACACAGAGAACATCATGTCAAACATCACAATATGTTTGTAGTTTGTCCAGCTTGTTTTATTTTCATTTTTCATTTGCTTTATTTGTAAATATAATTTTGTGTATCTGTGCATTATAATATTTGTAACATACGTGTTCTATCAAGCAATATGTATATATGGGGGATGTGATTTTGGGGTGGATGGGGAGGAGAGGAGAGGGCACAAGGCAGTCATTTCATTTCACTGCAGCAACATCCCTCCCCACAAAAGAAACGTGCGGTTTAACATATTTCAGGTCCTTATGCCACTACCTAGTTAATGACACAGGCAGTGGCGTGAAGTGGAGAAAGCTCCATGGCAGGATGTCAGGAACAAAGCCAAACTGAACGATACTTTGCAGAGGTGAGACAGGTAAAACTAAAGGGCTACCATTTTCAGTTAATTTCTAATGTTGACTCCTATATAATAATTTCCTCAAATTGCATGATAGATTTAAACTTTTGGATAAATCCAAGCAGAGCCTGATAGGGAAAGGCTGCATTGTTTCAAGCCACTCTGGACAAGAGCTCTGTTCAGCTCAAAAGCCTGCTAGTTTAACACTACCGAGACAAGTGCTTATAATAAATAAGGTAAAAAAGTAAAGGTAAAGGACCCCTGGATGGTTCTCCAGTCCAGTCAAAGGCAACTATGGGGTACGGCACTCACCTCGCTTTTCAGGCTGAGGGAGCCGATGTTTGTCCACAGACAGCTTTCCAGGTCATGTGGCCAGCATGACTAAACCACTTCTGGCGCAACAGAACACCATGACGGAAACCAGAGCACACAGAAACGCCATTTACCTTCCTGCCACAGCGGTACCTATTTATCTACTTGCACTGGTAGGCTTTGAACTGTTAGGTTGGCAGGAGTGGGACAGAGCAACGGGAGCTCACCTTGTCGGGGGTTCTAATTGCCAACCTTACAATTGGCAAGCCCAACAGGCTGTAGTTTAGACCACAGCGCCACCCACATCCAGTAAATACAATAAATATAAAAAATACCACCATAGTGACATATTTGTATACAGACTTCTAGGGGGCCAGCAAGACAAGGACTGCTGTGTACGCTGCCCAGAGTTGAATGAATTTGGTTTTGGGGTAGAGGAAGTTTGCATTAAAGCAGAAGTGGACACATACATTGCCAATTGTCACGCTAAGGGGGAAACTGGTGAGAAGCAACATTTACACAGGGAAAAACATTTCCTAAAACTGGGAACGGCTGTGAGGAGCTGGGATTTGCATCTGTTTAAAGTATGCATATTTTACATAGCAGTTCTTGCTTTAGAGAACTTCAGTTCCCCTAAAGGCTCTGGGATAAGTTAACCGATTATGAAGGTATTGCATCAATTGGGCCTACTTTGTACTCACACGACGTTCACATCACACACTGCATATATACTGTGGGGTTGCCGTGTGTGCTACTGTATCTTTGGTTCGTAAATGCAGGAACTCTTTCCATCCTACCCAGCGTGAGTGGGTGTGCTAAATCAATATGCTGGATTCATAACTCGCTCAGGTGTAAATGTTGTATTACATAGTCCTGCTCCAGATTGACATGGGTGCTTGAGATGTGAGTTTCTCCCACATTTCCTTAGACTTGAAAGGAAGCAGGCTGTCAGAATGCTGCAGACAAAATACCTCTGCTGTCAGCTACTCAAAGTCTGCTCTGTGAATAAATAGAGTAGTTCAGGCTCCGGGGCAATCTAAGACATCAGCATTCATTAGCAGCAAATATTAAAATGTAAAGACTTCTAAGATTGGCTCTCCAAGGTGATTTATTTTTCACCAAGATGAAAGGGCTTTGAAAGGGTTGATGTTTTCAGCAGGATTATAGACACCCAAGTTTTAAAACAAAAATATAGCATAGCGCATATCAGTTCAGCTCTTGGGCCCAATGTATGAAGCAAAATATTATCGGTGGAGAATTACCTCACTAAAGAGCTATTCTGACACACAGTAGTTCCATTATGTGGATGATCATCTGATGTGCTTCTAGCAGATAGTGTTTTGCAACAATAAATACTGGAGGTGATGTGTATGCATTGCTTATATTTTTGTCCCATCCACTGGGGTTCAGGGGCTCGGGGTAGTGCAGATTTGCCACCCACCACCATTTTCTCTTCACATCCAAGAGATGAGGTCAAGAGAAAGCAACTAGTCCAAGTTCACAAATAGAGATTCATGTTTCTGTTAGTAATAGGTGGGCTCCCATGCTGAAGAATGGCTCAGAGTAAACCAAGCTATTCCCCACCTCAAAAAATGGGGAAACAGCTCAACATAAGCCTATACAATCTAAATCAATTTGGACCCTGCCAAGCCAACAGACCCCACAGTCTGATGGACTTTAAAACTTCTTTCTTTTTCCCTCCCACCCTCTTGCTTTGCTATTGTTCTGGTAGCAAACAGGAGAAAGGAAAGAAGGAAAGTTGTTTCTCAGTTGGGCACCTGCAAGGTACAGAGAACTCCCTCCTTTTTGCTGTTTCCCACATACTATGCCGGAGCATCAATCTTGGGATATGGGTGTCTGGATGGTGGATAGAAGGAATTGTGTGATGAGTATATTAGAGAGAGAAGGAACTGCATTTTTCTCCAGCTTGGAGTCAGAGAATAATCAATGTTCACCTGTTTAAATGGTAAAAGTCCCTGAAATCAAAATTTCTGAGCCACAAAACACAAGTCTCAGTGGCATCTCAGCTTTCACTCTATCCATTACACCACACTGGCTTCCATTGATAACTGGTGGCATATAATTGCCAGTGTCCATATATGAAAATATCTGGGCATCACTGAATATCCCATCCACCATGGTAGTTATAACTATTGGCAAATTATTACTCATATAAGGCCTTAGTTCTTCATGGGCTCGAACTCTGTTTGCCTTTAAGTCATTGCTGGGTTTATCATGCCCTGGGAAATCCACCACTTAATAATTTGCCTAGGGCGGTAAGAGAAAACAAGGTGCAGAGATCCATCCATCCATGCCTAGAGACAGATGTTTCCATCATTCTACTGGTAAGGATATATTCTGTTACCATAGAAATTATGCTGTAAACTCACCCCGTACCACTCATTTGAAAACCAAGTAATGGCAATCAGCAGGATCCAATGTAAACATCAGTGGAAATGCCCAAACTACTACAAAGGACCAGAAGCCTATGCACAAGCCTCATTGAATGGCCACTTCACGGCCAGATTATTTATCTGAACCACCACTCCAAATGGGAGACTGTTGCAATCAGGTTGAAAGTGTATGATGATCCCCAGCTAGGATTATATGGCTTGTTTGTGACAGAATGAATTGAGTTTCTATTAAACATGGATTTTCATTTGTGAAAATGATCACCTAACAGCACTCTTAACTAGAACTTTAAAACAGCTAAATTAACTTTTAGAGTGTGAAACTCTGGTAGTTCTTATTCCCTTAATCTTCTTATCCAGCAGATAACTATCCCACTGAAAAGCAGTGTTCAAACTCCTAAACAGAAGAGTCAAATTAAAATTGTACTCTTTCCCCATCTCATTCTAGCTCTTCTGCTCTCCTTGATGGTGCTATCCATCAAGAGCAAGCTATCTCAGGATGGATCATAAGCCTTGTGTAATGTAATTACAGACTTTAAAGCATTGCATTACACAGCATGAAATGAATTGGCAACTCTACGCCTTACGATCCAACTGACTAATGATTGAATAGTACAATTATAGGGTGGGGTGGGAAATGGAAACCAGGCACAGTATACCACAGCCCAGTTACTCAAGGAATTAAAGCGAGTTCAATGAGCAGCAAAGGCACTCAAGACAACAGTGGTAGTTCATGAAAGAGTGGTGTAATAAGCTGTCACACCAAGTAACAACCGAGGGGCAGAGGAACCCCTTTACCATACCCCTATTCCAGCATGCATTGCTGGAAGGCAGAGTAGCACCATCTCAGTGCACAACTGGTGAAATGTTGCCTGTGTGTGCAGCTTGTCATTCACCAATTGTGTGTCACTCCAGCAATCTCCAGCTAGTAAGGGTATGGGCACATCTTTCTCGTTGCTCAGTGACAGCAACGAAGTACTACATTCCTTTAACACCACCCTGTTACCTGTGAGCAGTCACGGGTTGTTTTTTTTTGGATATAAACTTACCCAAAGTAAACTAATGTTGGTTGCACCTACCAGAGCTCCCATCAACACAGATCTAAGCTGCCTCAGAAAAAAAGAGCCCATCATCTTAAGGTTTTGAAGAGGATTGCTAAACCAACGAAATTTGTTGCCACTTGGAAAACTTCAGTTACATATGGGAACACTAGGATAGGTGGCTTCATATACTGAAGTATGATTTTATTTGGTAATACCCAAGACATACAACTTTGACTGATTAGTCCAATTCTTGTTGCCTTCACCTGGGACCCACTTTTAACCCAAATGTCTATTTGAAGACCCATTTCTTAATCTCTTGACATGGTGACAGTGCGCCTGTTGTGACCCACCTTGGATCAGATTATGACCCACTAGTGGTTTCTGACTCATCAGCTGAAGGCCAGGAATACAGATGGCAGAAGCAACAGTGAAAAGCACACTGCCTCTGTTCCATTCCTCATCCAGCTGTCAAACAAACTATGCAGGTTTGCTTGTGTTTTGGTACTGGCCAAGCACCAGCCAGATGAAGTAGATGAACTTTAATATTACCAAGACTCAAAGCCTTGATTCTTTAAAATGATTTGATTAACGGGGAATAGATTAATCTGCAACACACCCAATTGTCCTCCCACTGTAGAGTCACACGCTTATTTCAGTAAGAAAAAATAACACTTTTATTTGCAAAATAAAAGTAATTACATAGTGATATAAATAAACTGACATGTACAAATAATCTATGTAAATCCCACAAGATATATTTCTGCTCAAACACTTCAATGTCAAAGTGGGCCACCAAAGCTATCTACAGAAGCCAGAGGTTCTAAAGTCTGGCTTGGAAATAAATGGTGAAATCTGTGTTTTCATACATGAAGCTTCATTTATTCTTTTTTCTACTAACAAACATAGTTGAGTAGGAAAACTACTGAGAGCCTCAAAGTCTGACCTTTCAACATTTCTCTAGAGAAGAATACACCTCGTTTTAAAGGCATTACTTTCATGGTTAACACTATGTAAAGCAGAAGGCCTACTTTTAATCTCATTCCTTTAGATCAAATGCAAATTTGTGTTGAAAGCTCCTATGGATTTAGAATAACACTCTTAAGAAGGACAGGATACAGCTAAGCCTTGATGCTTAATGTGGAGGCAAATCTATACAACAGAGAATGCAAGAGGACATTTAACACTTCTCTTACACTGAAATGCAATTTCACACATAAGCTCCATTTACACAGGCACACTGACTTACTGAGCACCATTCCTTAGCTTCTTTTAAACTTGAACACATTAATGTTCAACTCTGGCAACAGAAAAAGAAGTACTGTCAAGATGTAAGCATCACAGTACCAAAGCAACGGAAAGCAGGATTCTCTTGGATGGTGAAATGCTTTGACAACCAGACTATCCAACACTTTTACTGAAACCAAGCTACCCTTTCAAAAAGAAAAAAGGGGGGAAGAACAAACAAAGCACAGCATTGTTAATCATGGTTTCTCCAAGTTCATTGCAGGTGCCCTTCCCTCTGAATTCGAAGGCGCTCCTTCTCCACTTGCAAACGTTCTTTTTCGATTTGCAATTTCTCTGATTCAAACTTCAAGAACTGCAGCCTTTCCTTCTCGAGCTGTAAGCGCTCCTTTTCAATTTTTAGTTTTTCAGTTTCTAGATCCAGAGGTTGCAAGGCAGGTTTTTCTGACTGGCTGGGGTCATTTTCCAGCACAGGTTTCTCAGCATGCAAAGCCGCAAGCCTCAGTTTCTCTCGCTCTATTTGTAATCTCTCCTTTTCCAGTTGAAGCCTCTCATGCTCCAGGTCAATGTGTCGTAACCGCTCTTTTTCGATCTGCAGGCGCTCCTTCTCCACTTGCAGGCGTTCTGCTTCGATATCCAGTCGCTGTTTCTCTAACTCCAGCTTCTGTTTTTCAAGGCTAATCAGCAGATGAGAATCTTCATAGGCCAGCCTAGCTTGAGCAGAGCTTAGATTTCCAAACTCTTCGATGTGAGTGAAATCAGGAAGGTCACTTTCCTTTTTAGAATCTGGCAACACTGAGGACAGAATCTCCTCTTCTTCCTCAATAGGAAACTAAGAAAATCAATTAGCAATTTAATGATGTTCTGCACTAGGTAAAGATACACCTATCAGCTGTAGGAAAGGCAAGACAAACTTTATAGCTTCTGAGAGAGGCCCTCAGACTAAGCTTTTTGTGAGCCTTTGGAAGAGCACATTAAGATCTCACTTACATGTTTGTTATCCAAACTTTGTGCAGACTGAGCAATGGACAGAGCAATTCTATGTTGGGGTGGGTCGTTGTGGTGTTCTGCTACTTCCTAAACTTGCTGGCCCTTTTTAGGGACAGGTCTAAGGGACAAGAGGTCTGAAGATATTGCAGCTCTTTAGCTACCCTGACTTGCCCTCTTGTGGTCTCACCACTGGCATAAGACTGTTGGCATAACGTCTATGCCTGCAGAGCTTTCCTCATGGGGGCTCCAACGCCATAAATGCCATCCTGCCAGCAGGCCTTTGAGTGACACTTACACTGCTTGCAAAGACCCATCAGTGGGCCTTCAGTCAGCTTTTAGTATAAGGTTACCAGATTTTTTTCAATGAATCCAGGGACACTTTTCAACTTCAATGGATTTTGTATGGGGACTGATTTGTAAATCCAGGGACTGTCCCTGGGAACAGGGACGTCTGGTAACCTTATTTTAGTATTGCTCTGTAAAGGTGATTTCGTTTCAAATCTAGGAGACAACAGAGTGAGTTGTCACTAAGGATTGGAAATTATACAGTAGCTGAGCTAGGAAATTTTACAGAAGGAAAGCATACAAATAAAATATACTTACCATGCAGGAACTACTTACTTCAAAACTCTGTGGATCCTCCTCCTCTTCTTCCACTTTTATTTCTGTTAATGATCCACCTGCTTCTCTGAAGTCTGTAATATTCTGCCATTCAAAACCAGCTTCAATTGGAAACCCAATTTTCTCATCAATATCTTCGTTGAGAGAATCATCCAAATCAGATGATGGAAGGTGAAAGCCAGCACCCACAAGCTTTATGTTGGTATTAAGTCGCTTCCGTTTCATAAGGGCCCTCCAATCGAGGTATCGCCTTTTGACTTCTGTCCCTGTCCTTTGCTCTCCTTCACCAACAGCATTAACACATTCTGCTATTTCCTCCCAAGCCTTCCGCTTCATCTCATTAATGGTTGTATTTAATTGTTTAGAAAAAAGCACTTCTCTCCTTTTTCGGATTTCTTTAAGTAGCGTTTGAGTTTCCTGAACACTAAAATTGCTTTTCCTTTTCCTTTTTAGCTGTTTCATCTTCTTCAGCTTTCAATGTACTTCTTCCTGTAGCAGACAAGAGATTAGTGATTTGCTATGCTCCTTAACAATCACCTCACAATTCAGCTTGTTCCTGCAGTGAGATCTTGTTTCAGTAGTTCAGCTTTTCCTCTTATCTTTCATAAATGCAAAGAGCCAAGAAAGTAAATGTCATCGAGAAATATGCAAAGACTGAATTTTAACCAATGAACTAAAATCAGCTCAATTAAATAAAAATAAAAGCATCCAATAAAGGAACAAAAGGGGAGGAAACCTCAGAGGTTTAGACAAGACAACCAATTGCTTAATAATATTTATTGAGATAGCATGGAAGATACTATTGGTTTCTCTTCGAAACCAGTGTTAGTGAGTGCTATTCGTAAAAAAGAGATAGTACTTGAAAGACATCAGGCAATCAATTGTCTAATGTGAATCTTTGAGGTACCCAGTTTTTATTTATAGAACGCAAAAGCCACCAGGTTTCACAAGATGTGGCAATGCTTACTGGCCTAGATGCCTTTAAAGGAGGATTAGTCAATATCAATGATAGGTTTATCAATTGCTTATTTACCACAACAGCTAAGGGAAACTTCCAGGTAGCTTACATTTAAATACCATTTGCTGTGGTATATAAATACCTGGTTTGGGGACAGTAGGGAAAGTCCATTGCCTTCATTACCTGGTTTTGGGCTTCCCAGAAGCACTTGGTAAAACACTGTAGAAAACAAGATGCTGGACTACATGGTTCTTTGGCTTTATCCCAAAAGGTTATTCTACTGTTCTTAACTTCCATATGCCAGTTGCAAATGTGGCAATAGCCTGCTCTGAAATGTGTACATTTGTGTGACTGTACAATTCAAGTTTGCTTCTTAAAAGCTCTTTCCCATTTTGACAATCACTGAGAAGAAAAATATGTTTAAAAGCTAAGGACCAAATGATCTATGGGAAAAGCTTTTATTTTTAAATTTATAAAACCTTTCTCCTGGTATTGTTATGCTTTCTTCAAAAAAAAAATAATACCCATGCTTTTGATTTTTAGAAATTAAGAGAGGTTGATTCATAAGCAGAGACAGTTGCTGCATATATAGAGATGAGCTATTTCCACATCCTGTTGAAGCTTCTTAGAATTCCACCCCCTGCCCCAAATGCAGCTCCTTGTATTCCATCTTCTATCATGAATTTTCTATCACAAGACCTTGGTGTCATAGTGGATAGTTCGAAGATGTAGATCTATTGTGCAGCAGCTGTGAAAAAGACAAATTCCATGCTAGGGATCATTAGGAAAGGAACTGAAAATAAAACTGCCAATGTAATGCTGTTATACAAATCTCTTGCACAAATGCATTTAGAATACTGTGCATAGTTTTGGCTGCCTCAATCTTTTTTCTATCCATTCATGTTCTTCAGTCTATCCTCTCTTTAATTGCAAAACTAAAGACTGACTTCACAGCCTTTCCTCAAAACCAAAAAGTACCTTTTCCAGATCTACAACAGCCAATGAAAACTGAAAAGTCTGTACACACATTATGTAAAAGCTTTACATCTTTCCAAGGAGCTGTCCACAGCAATTCCAGCACCTCTCTCCTGGGTAGCAACAGCTAATATAGAACACAATGTTCTGTAAATATATCTGGTGTTCCTTTTCTAGTATAGTCCACCTGTCAATATTGAATGTCATCAACAAGTTTTATTTCCAACTTGTTTATGCTGCAAGATCCAACCATAATCTTCACAGTTTACCTTTATCCCACTACCAATAGTCTATTGATCAGTGTGCAAATACCAATAATTTATCCTGTACACTTACAGAGGGATGCATCACAGAAACCTGAAAATAAACTGATGATGTCAATGAAGTCTGGCAATCCCAGATTTTAACCTTGGGTTTAGGGAAAGTGTAATTCATGGATCCATTTTGGATTGCATCTCAGATTGCCCTGGTCAAATCGTAAATTGAACTGGAGGTTGAATTATTATTTTTTTCCAGACATCTAGAAGAGGGATGAGCAGTCTGTACCTCTTAGCCTCATATAATGTGGCTAGCAAGAAGGTGGTAAATGGGGCTAACAGTGAGAGAGAAGTGTGGTACCTTGACTACTTTGGGCTCCAGCTCTATCCTTCACCCACATATAAACCACTCAGCCAATTACCCCAAAGGAATGTAGCCCTGAAGGTCATCAGCTGCAGGAGAATGCCTGACTGGGCAGGAGAATCTAGTGGTTCCATATGATTTCAGGAGTGCATTGTGGCAAAGGACTGCACCTTCTCCATGCACCTTCAGTGTTAACTACATCACACAGACTTCTTTGTAAACAGAACCAGGCAGGTTTTTCTTCTCTATGAGTTAATTTACTCTCCACATGATTACAAGAGGCAGTAAGGGCTGCAGCTGATACTGTTGTGAAGAACACTGAATAACAGGTGACCAGCAATACTATCCTATGTTGTGAATATGATCAGACAGATGGGGAAAGTACATTATATATATTTAAAGTGTCTGAAGGGGAAGAGAAAGCACAACACCCATCCTGTACGAACTACCCTTCTTCACCATACAATGCCTGGGCTTTTATCAGCTTATGTTCATATCATGTCCAGCACAATCCTAACAGCACTCAAGAAGTCCCACTGAGATCAATGCTGCCTGTTTCCTATGTTAGCTGACTGCATGACACTTATAAAGTGGCTTTTTTTTCCTATATAAAAAAGAGATGCTGGAACTTGACCACCTTTTTTTAGGGGGAGCAGCCAGCCAAAGTTGTTGAGCAACAGAGCGCCTTTGTATGATTGGAACAGGGTGCCCAGAGGAGGATGTTTTGAAAATTAACTCTGGGTGCCATTGATCAGGAAGTTGCCACCTCAACATAGCCCTAATGGCCAACTTTCTCCATAAACTTGTGATGCAACCACTAAGTTTCAATCTACTTTTAAAGGACACCCTTTAAAAAAAACCACCTCATTGTAAAGAGAAAACAAGCACTGTGGGTGAGAGTTTGGCCCAGAAACTATTGTGCAATTTCCCATCTTGCAGCAATTTACAAACAGGTATGTAGGGATACTTGCCGATCGAAAGGTCGGCGGTTCGAATCCCCGTGGCGGGGTGCGCTCCCGTTGCTCGGTCCCAGCGCCTGCCAACCTAGCAGTTCGAAAGCACCCCCGGGGTGCAAGTAGATAAATATCCCGCTTACTAGCGGGAAGGTAAATGGCGTTTCCGTGTGCGGCTCTGGCTCGCCAGAGCAGCGATGTCATGCTGGTCACGTGACCCAGAAGTGTCTCCGGACAGCGCTGGCCCCTGGCCTCTTAAGTGAGATGGGCGCACAACCCTAGAGTCTGTCAAGACTGGCCCGTACGGGCAGGGGTACCTTTACCTATGTAGGGATAATTCGAAAAAGGAATATGGGGGAGGAACAGGAAGATGAAAGAAGCAGATAAGGTATCAGAGGGCAACCCTCCCCAGCTGCCCTAGGAAATGAACTCTTGCTCTCCAGCGGGGCTGTTGGTTTAGCTTTCGAGTAGGCAGTCCTTGGTGCAGCCACTGTGTTTTATACACGTCGCACGCCACTCCAACGGCTCTGGTAGGAAGAATGGGGATTTAAATCCAACAAAACAGCAAAAACACAACGACAATAGCGACGGCAGCATCCCTCACCAGGACCGGCGCGGCCCATTCTACCACCTCGGCGCTCCTTCGGTGGACGAGGGAAATGAGGGGCCGCCGCGGTTCACCTTCACACAAGACACACACACACCCCGCTTTGAATTTGAACGTGTGGAGATGTTACGAAGCGTCGTCGTCGGCGAATATTCTCCTCGGGAAAACGGGTGGGGCGCGGGGAGGCTGCGCACCTGGCGCCCCCCGGCCACGCCACGGCGGAAGAGGGGAAGGAAGCCCGTGAGGGAAACAGCGGCGGCGCGTGAACCGAGGCAGGGGTGGGAGAAGGCGGAGGAAAAGAGCCGAGCTTCCCCCCCCCCCCACATACACACACACACACCATAGCCAGGGAACTGGGATCTACCCCGGCGCTCCCTCACAGGCGGACGCGGCTCCTCCCCTTCCTTCCTCCCTCCCTCCTTCCCTCAGCAGCGCAAGAGCGACTCACCTGCGCGCACCGCTCCCCCTTCCGAACAGCCGGCCTTTTGACCCACCCCCACCCGCCTGCCGCGGCCGCCGGCGAGGCCGCCTGTCACTCACCCATCCACGCGGCGCTCCGATTGGACGGCGCCGCGCGCTCGCCACCCGCTCGCGCTCCCCAACGGTTCCAACCGCCTCCTTTCCCCAACTCGCGCAACTATGCCCGCCACGCCCCCACCCGCTCGCTCTCTCTCTCTCTCTCGCGTTCTGACCCGTCTCCCGCCTATTGGTCGCGGCGGCAGCTTGTCAACGAGCATGGCTTCCGTCATTGGTGGAGGAGACGAAAAGAGGCGGTTCTTTTCGAGGCGCCTTCCGAGGAGAGGGAGAAAGGGCGGGTGAGGGGGCGCAGGCGAGGCGGCGGGTTGAGGAGGAGGGAGGGAAGTCGGCGGGCCTTTCCTAGGTACGGGTGCAGAGGTTGGTTCCAGATTATGAAGGGTCGGAGAGGAGGAGTCGGTCTTCGCCCGTGTCACTCCTCACCGAGACGGAAAGGGGCGGGCAAAGGGCGGTGGATCCCGTTTGCGATTTTTGGGATACCGCTGTGGACAGGATTGGATTACCTCAGAGCGCGCGCAAGTTGCGCACCCCTGCCCGCTGCGTTGCCGCCTACCTGAGCGGCGCAGCTGGGAGGGTTGGGTGCGATCCCCAATTCTGCAGCTCCAAAGAGCTTTATAAATTATAAACATGTTTTATAAATTAACAGCATTTAAAAAATAAAAAAAGCTTCAGGATGACTTATTGGGTGCAAATATTTGTGTACACTACATTCGTAGTTTGCAAAGTAACCAGTTGTTGCTGGTGTTTGCATTTCCCTGCGCACATCTGCTTCCATTGCAGCATGCACACCCCATCCAGGACTGGCTGATTGCATTTGCCTCCTTCGATCCTCGGCAATGGAGAAGTCCCAAATCTTTGCAGCATGTGCCGTGTTCGGGTGTTCAGTTTGCTCTTGTGTAAACGATCACTCAATTCGGGAGAGTAGTGGCAGGGGCATGGAGGAGACAGGGAAGAGCATCTGTCTTGCAATGCAGGAGGTCCCAAGTTCAATCCCAGGTATAGAGGGATTTCTTCCTAGAACTCTTGGAGAGCTGCTGACAGTGCTGAGCTAGGTAGGCCAAAGGTCTGACTTGGCAGCTTTCCTATGTGCTGGCAGCCAGCTGGGAAGACGACATCATCTTGGAGTCCCCCACTCTAACTGTGGGCAAGGTAGTAGCAGCAGGCCCAGGGTTCTGCAAGTCACATCCTCCAGAAAAAACACCAGAAAGAGGGAGGATGAACAAGTGCAGAATTCTTTGTAAAGAGCAGCCACAATTCCTTCCTTCTTCCTCTATTTCATCCTGGCCCAGCCCTCCTTACCCTGACAGCAACCTTGTGCAAAGAGAAGGCAAGCAAGGGGTTGGTAGACCCACCCCCTCAGAGAGGGGAGGCAGGAAAGTCTGATTTTAACAGTATACCAAGGATTGAAAATGGGATGCGGGTGGTGCTGTGGTCTAAACCACAGAGCCTTGGGCTTACCGATCAGAAGGTTGGCAGTTCGAATCCCCGCAACGGGGTGAGCTCCCATTGCTTGGTCCCTGCTCCTGCCAGCCTAGCAGTTTGAAAGCACGTCAAAGTGCAAGTAGATAAATAGGTACCGCTCCAGGCGGGAAGGTAAACGGCGTTTCCGTGCACTGCTCTGGTTCGCCAGAAGTGGCTTAAGTTTGCAGACAAACGCCGGCTCCCTTGGCCAGTAAAGCGAGATGAGTGCCGCAAACCCAGAGTCGTCTGCGACTGGACTTAACTGTCAGCGGTCCCTTTACCTTTACCTAAGGGTTGAAAAGCATTTTATAAGTGATCAACACTATCACTTACTTCACTTACTGCAGGCCAGAGATAGAGGGTGAGCAAACAGAGGGAGTGGCAGTGGCTGTTTCCTTATACTGGTCCTGGGCGTTAAATAGGAAGTTTCTAGAGTTCATACTTGTTTTGATGGTTCTATAGCTTTCCTAGGGTTTTAATGTAGATCTTTCACACTCCATTTGGGGCTAAGAAGTGGGAATGCCATCAGGCAACATTTCTATGACATCCAGAGCTTATATTATTCTTTTGAACATTGATCATAACTATTTCTCACCTTAGATTTTTACACCCCAATCCCAAATACATTTTCTTGAAAGTTTTGATTACAACTGAACTTACTTTCAGGTAAGTGTTAAAACAAGAGCTTAATCATTTATTCAGAAGGAAATCTCTGCAGCATTCATTCTTCATTGTAAGGAAAATGCTAAATTTAGGTATTTGGAGGTGGTTCTTCATTGTGAGATGAAGCAGAAGCTTAACATACTAGTTCAACTGCTCAGTGTTTTTATTATGCAGATTAATGAACATTCCAGCACTCACACAGGTACAGACATATTTCTGTCACTTCTAGTGGCTTGTAGCATAGTTACAAATACTTTAAAGATCCTTTTGCATATCAATGGCTAACCAGGGATGTCACTTCCTTCAGGGATTTTGGGGATAATTACAGTCAAATGACCAAGAACACTCCTGTGTCAAAATAAAGCCTTCCCGCCTCAAAATGGCAGGTGCCCAGGATCCCCCAGAAAGTAATGAAGCTAAAGTGAACCCCAGTGACACCTGTGGGGCCATTTCCTCTGGCAAAAAGTGAATACAACTTTGATTCACATGATCCAGTAGGAAGCTCCAAGAGGAGGAGCAGAATCCAATGTGGCAGCAGGAAATTGCAGGAAGTTCAACAATTTTGCTCTGGACCCTAGAAACACTCTCACCCAACCTCAAAAACTGGGTGGAGTAAAAGTACCTCAGATGTAGAAGACTCAGAGCAGCAGCAGAAAGAGGTAGCAGCTAGTACTCTGGGAGCAGGGAGGAGTGCCTAGCAACATGTAGTGCTCAACTCTCAGGTGTGGTGGTCATTCTCTACCACTGATCAGTAGTGTTCAAGGAGGAGCAACAGGCACCTTTGCAGCAGATGAGCTAGCTGGAAGGGACTGATCCTCAGCCTTCGTCTTCAGGATGATAATACATGTCCCAAATTGAGGGGGTGGGCTGACGGGGACCCCTCACTTCAGGTGCCACAAGGGAGAAGGATAACAGTCCCACCTCCTCCAAGGACTGTAGATGGGGAGCTGGAATGTGCCCGAGTGCAATAATTTTGTGTGTGACAGCTCTCCAAATCACTGAGCCCTGGGTCTGCGAAGGGACTAAATATTTTTTTTCGGGTGTGGGGAATAGATTACAATTGCTAGGGTGCTTTGAGGAAAGCTATAATAGAACATGATTCAAACCACTTTGTGTAGATGTGCCCTTTCCCATACTATGTGCTACAGCAAAATCTCTTACTTTGAATGTCAGTTATTTAGCAATCATCATTTTTTCTGCCTTATCTAACCCTTTTCCTCAGGGTAATACTAAAGTTTCCGTTAACATTTTTACAACAAGGAGAACTAGATTGGCTGTTCTGATTCCAATACCTTTATAGGTAGCAGACTTGGCCATAGGTGCCTTCTCGCACTGAAGACTGCTCCAGTGGACTAGGCAGAGGAGTGTAAAAGTGAGAATAAAAAACACAATGTATAAAAACAATGCATTACATTTTGACACTGACATTTGTGATACAGTAATTGCAAAATAATATCTATTGAACTAGTGACCCGTTAGCAAATAGTTCAATCAATTAGCTGAGCACAGGAAGAAATTACATATATTAAATGTTCATTAGGTCATGCCATATTTTACCTTTACTGATAATACAATACCAGAATAATAGAACTGTTTTGGTGTGGTTACATTTTTAGTGCAAATAAATTCATATACGTTGGCATGCAACTCCTTTCTACATTATAATGTAGGCTGGGATCCGAACACTAGTTTCGCATACCCTAGTGATTGTGTTTCTTGAACAATACATCTCCCCATGGGGTACAGCAAATTACTTTTGAAACTTGAGTGAAGAGGACTTTCTAAAGCAGTTTGATATGTCATGAAGATCTTGATCTTCAAAGGTTGGAGGGAAGTAAAAATTCCACTAGACTTGCCCAAGTTCTTGGGCATGTCTAAAATACCTCTTTGGATCCCAGCCACTATCAGGTAAGACTACTAGATAATACGTACTCCTTAAAAGTGCATTTGTACAATTAATATTTTGGCCTCTAGTTTGTGTTTTGTGGTCTAGTTTTTGCAAGATGTTAAGCAAACGCATCTTACAAAATGTTTACTCAGGAGTTAAGCCCCACTGAGCATGCATAGAAATGCAGCCTTAGAAAACTAGCTATATCCTTCTCTTATATCTAATGTATTGTAAGTACATGAGATGGATGACAGAAGTAGGTATGTGCAACTGGCATGCCCTTAATCAGCTTTATACAGATCATCAACCCAGTTACAATTTAAGGAAGAATGAGGAAATGCAAAATTAGGATCCAAACAGTCATGAAAGATACTGCCTCAAAAATACAAGATGTGCAGTATAATCCTTAACATGTTCACTCTGGAGTAAATCTCACTGAATTCAAATGTACCTACTCCCAAGTAAATTTACACAGGCAATGAAACTTAATTTTAAATAAATATAAATTTTGGCCACCTTCCCCAATCTGGTGTCCTTCAGAGATTTTGGGATCCAAACTCCCATCATCCCTAGTCAGCATGGGCAATGATCAGGGATGATGTGAGCTGTAGTCCCAAAAGATATGGAGGCATTCAAGTTGGGGAAATACAATTACACTGATCTATTATAACCCCTCTATGATTTTACACCAGACTGATGAGATATAACCCGATGCAATAAGCACAAGTAAAACATTCCTATATTGTTTTGGACAAAGGAAATAAAAACTTTACTGCACACTTGCTACCACAAGCATAAGCATAAAGGTACTTCCTTGGGCTGTGTCTGTTACCTACGGCTATCATAAAGAGAAAAGCACAGCCAACAGCATTGAAATGACAGACCAACTTAGGACCTATTAGTAACATCAACAAGCTACACCACTTGAGATATTGAATACTCAACTGAATCCACTACTGTCTTTGCTTAAGCCATTTTAGTCTCAGTGAGTGCAGTTCTTTGCCTACTCAAAAGTAAGTCCTATGAGTTCAATGAACATACTCCCAGGTGAACAGAGTATTGCAGCCCAAGTTAATAAAAGTTGTTTGTGAAAATTATTGTGTGCAATGTTCCTATCAAAATAGTTGACATTTTATTTAATAACTAATAGAGAAAAATGCTAAATTAAGCTTTAAAAAATCCAGAATTGAGTAACTTACAGCAAGCCTACACATTTTTACTCAGAAGCCCACCCCACTGAGTTCAATGGGGTGTGCTCCCTGGTAAACAGTTAAGCCAACATCCAGAAAGCAACTAAATTCAGCCTATTTTACTTTACTACATATTATGGAAACCTTCAACTTTTAACTCCATTTTTTTCTACTGGCAAAACTATTATTGATCCTGGTTACTCTTACTTTGGCCCTATAAGTGCATTAATCTGAAAACTTGGGCCAGGATGTAAACTGCTACCTAGGCTCAATGTAATTTTTGATATTTTTTTTCCTTTGACCAGTTGACCCCAAATCATACCATAAATTGCTTTTCAACATATTGTAGGGTTGACTGGGGGAAAGGGGGGAAAAAACCCTCACATCATCTACATTACTCTTTAGTTCACAAAGCTTCTGGTTCTAGTTGTGGTCAATCCCTTTTTTGGGGGGGGGGATTGCTACTGAAATTTAAAAAGAGGTGTTTGAATATATTCCAAACATTCAATCAAGCCCTGCTCCTTATTAAAATAAAAAGTGGCTGCAAACCATGTTAGCAGATTGGGCCTCTAATATATGGGGCTTTTTGGCAAATGAAAAGCAAACAGAACCATAAAACTTGTGCAGTTTCTTATAACTGATATATTGGACTACACTGCTATTGCAAACAACCATGGGTCCCTATATTTATTAAACTTAATCACCTGACAATAGAACTCAGTTAGGGCTCTTGGCATGGGTGAAACCTCCTCCCATTCAGACCTACTGCTATGGTAGACTTGTACTTCATCAGTGATTTCATCAGGAGCATAATCTCCACCGAGGATGTAAATTTTATCTTCTATTCCAACTGCTCCTGCATTAAAACCAGCACATTCAAAAGACCCTTCCCCTTTCCAGACATATGTCTCTGGGCAAAAACTATAAACCTTGTAGGTGGAAAGGTCACAGATGTACAATGTGCAGTTCACTGGAACAGCTTTGATTAAGGTGGCGTGAAAGAACTGCCCAAATTCTGCTACCAGCTCAGACCACTGATCAGTTGCGGCATTATATTTAAAGAAACAATCAAGAGATGGGTTAAAGGCATCAGTAATTTCTACTTCAGAACCAAGCACATAAATTATATTCTGACATGCACTTGCTTCTGGATAATAGATACCTCTTGGTAAGGGACTCACAGATTTCCATTCCCCAGAGAGAGGACTGTATGCCTCCACATCCAAAAGACTTTTGATATCCTTAGATGCCCTCGTCTTCCCCCCTATTACAAACAGTTGATTTAGGGTCACAACAGATGCATGCATTGTCCTTGGCTTCTTCATGGCTGATACCGACGAGAAGCTGTCCTTCACCGGACAGTAACACCAAGTTTGGTCAGTGGCGTCATGATACGTTTCAGCAATATGAAGTCTAATTGTCCGGAAACAGTTCCCTACACATCCGCCAGTTATAAACAGCTTTTCACCATAACTAGATAAACTTGATCCTGGCAGATCTGTTATGTGAGTGTGCATCAGTTCCTTCCATTGATCAGTTTTAATATTGTAACAAAACGTATGTCGATGTACTCCGTCTTCCTCAGTTTTGTGAACAAGTATGTACTGTTCTGTTGTTGAAGGGCGAGCGTCTGGAAACAAACCGCTAAAAGTTTGCACACTTTTAATTGCCTCATTGATTATTACCAAGCAACCAGCGCTTTCAAGTAGTTGTTCTTCGGAGTGCAATACTTCCTGCAGCGTCTCCTCGGATAACTGATGTAACCGTATTTTTTTCATCAAGTGGGGAAGATGCTTCTGTCTTGTTTCCAAGTTATGTTTCGTCCACCAAAGGGCAGCTTTCAACACAGATTCCTCATCTGGGACGTTGAGCTCATCTGCTTCTATACATTTTAGCAGTATCTCAAAATTCATTTCCAGAAAATCATTTGACTGGAGCAGCAAGGAAAAATGGCGCTGGGCATATTTGAGGGTATGGTCAAACAACTGAGTGGACCCATAACTTTCGGAAATGGATAATAGCTGCAAACAGTTGACAAGATCAATGTTCTTAATTAGAAAGTCACTGCAAGCTTTCGAAAGAGTGGAAACTTGAAGAAAGGATGAAAGCTGAAATAACATTTCTACGTTATCGTTTGTTATCTCTGTTCTTCCAGTGTAGGCATAATCAAGAAATGCCTTCACTGCCTTGGGTGATAAATTACTAATAGTAACACTCCCATCATCTCTTTCTTTCATGTTAACTTCAAACATGGCCCTACAGTTAAAATACAGAAGATGAACACACAATAAATCATCACTGATATCTGTTCCATCTGAATATAATATAGAACCAAAACCACACAGCTTAAGGTGAAGGGAACTATTTTCAACAAACATCTTTTGGACATTTTAGGTAAATTATTTGTAGAGTGAATAAATGCAAAACTAATGCAGTATAAACAGCGGTGTAGCGTGGGTTGTCAGCACCCGGGGCAAGGCAAGTAATTTGCGCCCCCTAACCCGTGGATTTGCACCCCCTAACCTGTGGATTTGCGCCCCCTAACCCATGGATTTGCCCTAACCCCAGATGTTGCGCCCGGTGCGGCCGGCCCCCCCTGCACCCCCCACGCTACGCCACTGAGTATAAAGCACATTTAAAAAGAAGCAGGGTTTTTCTATGAGGCTTTCATTACTTTTAAATAGTTCGGCATGATAAATTCAGGCATCATTCCAATCAAGGTATGATGAGTGTATATCTTAAAACACAAATTAGATCAGTTCCAAGTCCACTGGAATTTTTGGATTTGGTTTTTTTCTTTTAACAGCTACATCCACTCTCAGATTCAGATTGCTTAGACTCTTTAAATTCTTAAAAGCTCAGAGTGATTAAAAGAGCATGATGTATTGCCACAGGATTTCTGTTTCTGTACATCCAATTAGCCAGTGTGGAGCCCACCTGATGCTGTTGGGCTATAACTTCCATCACCCTTGACCAAGAAGCCAATGAGAGTTGCAGTTCCAACAACATGAGGTGGGCACAAACCAAGGTTCAATGGAAATGCAGCTCACCCTCCTGGAAGATAAGGGATACCCAGGTTAACAGTGTTCTTGTTTTCATAAATATGTTGTAATTTCTATTATACCCAAAGTCTGGAATGTATTCCGGATGTATCAAGACCCGTTTTTGTTTCTGCTTCAATATCTTGTACTTGTTTTCTGTGATTGTTCTGTTTTAGGCTTGATTTTGTATTTTAATAAAATTAAAATTATTTGTATGTCTTCTCTGAGATCTTCAATACTAGACACTGTCAAACAGAGGATATGAGCCAAGCGAATTGATTTGAAATGCTATACTGTGTTGCATCATAGAGTATCCAAACAACAACAAAAATACTCATTGAGAAACAGTTATTAAATATTCCTACAGATAAATTATTTTATTATTGATTAATGTAATCAATACATCCAGCAAAGGCAGTTTGCATACAGAAGTGGTATCTGTAGATGCATGCCCTTCTGCATTGTGTTGAATTGGCTGCATATAGCATTTCAGGCAGATGGTAATGCACATCTCCACCTGAAACCTACATATGAAGTTGTACACAGTGAATGGGTTGAAATCATGCTATCTAACAAAAACAAATAATTTTAAAATGATTTCACAGCCATTTCACAGCTGACTGGATCTACTTATCTACTTTTGAAGGTCAACATAGGATGAAAATTACTTCTATGTTTTGAATAGGGGGGTTGTGAATTGAATAGAAGAATGAATTAACTACATCACATATGTAACAGTGATTTATATATATCTCCATGTTTATATCCATATATATCCATATCTATATCTATATATCTATGCACACAAGAACTACATCATAAATAGACTTACCTGAAAAAGTCACTACATGCTGCCAATACGCAACGGTGACATGGGATCACTTCATCTTTCACAAGTATTTTGAAGTCAAAAAAGTTGTTTTGATCTCTGAAGCTTTGCAGTACATTTAAGATTTGTTGGCCATGGCCTTCAGCCACCAAGGAGCTGGCTTTCTGCTCACGAGATGAAATTCCATTGCAAGTTGGGGTGCTAATGAAATCATATTGGTTGTCCATGGTTTCTGCACTCTATTCTTATTGCTGAAGGAGATAATATAAAATTAGACACACACAACAAAAATGACTTCATAGGTATGGTATGCTAGGTGTGGTGATCCAAGGAATCTTTATCCATATTGGGAAAGGTGTATAAATATTTTAAATAATAAAAATAGCTAGAAATGCCATCCAAATAATACATCACAGGTCGGAATCTCATTGGTAACTTGCCTTTGGGTACACTTTCAAAGCAAGTGATAAAGAAATCCATGCACAGAATGATGCTTGTATGATGTGAATATAGTCCACTGTAACCACCATGAGTTCCTAAAGCTTAAATGTTTTAAGTGACTTTGTTACTAAAAAAATAAAAATAATCTGGTATAAACTGTAACTATTACTGCATTGCTTTGTTTTTGTTTTTGGTTTTTTTGAGGGAAAACAAGGTCCCAAAGAATTATACCCAAACCTTGCTATATAAACAATTGATTCATATATCCGAACAGCTAGCGTTTGCCCACTTTCTTACTTGTTTGTGTTTTGCTGGTCAACAGTAGCCATTTTGGGCAGAAACCATGGGGGTAAGGAGAGAGATCGGACAAATCAGTCTTTCCTCTTTGGCTTTTGCTGATTGGCTGCAGCAGTTTCAGGCAAAAAGCATGGAGGGAGAAAACCTGGATTATAAATGTTCCCACAGAAAATGATGGAAATAATCTGCTCGCTATGCAAACTTGTTACTCTGAGTAAAGGTTGAATACCACCCTAACAAATGTATTATGATACAAGCTTTCATGGAATATACAGTATGATCACATCTTATACGGGGTTGCATTCTGGGGATAGCATGTAAAGCCGGAATACCATATGGTCAATACAACCCTTTAAAAACCAGGTAAATGGCCCATAAAAAGCACACCAGCATTTACCTGTGCACAATGACCGTGTTGCTTAGTCTTCCTCATCCTCTTCAGGGCTTGAGGTTGCTCCAGGAGATGAGGGACCAGGCCTGAGCAACAGATTGCAAGTTACAGGCAAAGTGGTTGGCTCTGTTTCAGCTTCAGAAGTTGATTGTGTGGGCTCACTTGCTACCACTGCATTTTTTGTGGTGCTTGGCAACTGTCGCTGTTGTCTCTTGAGCTGTTCAAACATTTCTCGATACAGTCTCAAACTGTCTGTGATACCCTGTGTGATTTTGAGGCTTCGTTCCATAGAGGGGTCAAACTCAGCGATCAAATCATTCAGGTGTTTTGCTGTTTGGAAGACTTGAGCAAACTTATGCAGATTCCAACTTGCTGGCTCATCCTGTTCATCCTCCTCCTCTTCATCTTCTGTACTTGATCTTAGCAGTTCCTCCAGCTCTTCATTAGTCAATGTTCCTCCATGGCCATCAATTAACTCTTCAACTTCTTCCTCAGTGAGGTCAACAAAGCCATCACCACCCACTTGTCTGGCCATCTGGACAATATGTTCCACTTCATTGTCAATGGTTGGGAAACCCTTAAAATCACCCACACATTCTTTCCACAACTTGCGCCAGCATGCATTCACCGATTCGGGCTTGATTGCATCGACTGCTTGCTTAATGTAAGTGATGCAACTGGCCATGTTAAAGGACTTCCAGCACTCAATGGCATCAAGGTTGGGATCAGTATCCATAGCGTTACGTATCCATGAGAAGGTTAGCTTTGTGTAAGTTGCCTTGAAGCACCGAATCACACCTTGGTCGAGAGGTTGGATGATGGAGGCTGTGTTGGGCGGGAGAAAGACAACTTCAACATCATTATGTGCAAAGCAGAGTGCTTCGGGATGACCAGGAGCATTGTCCACAATCAGCAACACCTTAAAGTCCAGTTGTTTCTCTTCAAGGTACCGCTTAACTTCCGGAACAAAGCAACTGTGGAACCAATCTAGAAAGGTTGCTGCAGTCACCCAAGCCTTTTTATTGGGTTGCCAAAACACAGGCAGGAGATTTTTGTTCTTGCCTTTCAGGGCACGGGGGACTGCAGACCTGTACAGCAAGCCTGGCTTTATTAAGTGCCCAGCGGCACTGCCACAGAGCAACACAGTCACGCGGTCGTTAGCTGCTTTGAAGCCAGGGGCTTGTTTTTCTGATTTGGAGATGTACGTCCGATCAGGCATTTTTTTCCAGAACAGCCCCGTCTCAACAGCATTAAAAACTTGCTCAGGAAGGTATCCCTTTTCGTCTAACAGTTCTTTTAATTGCTTGGGGTAGGCTTTTGCTGCCTCTTTGTCTGCAGATGCCGACACTTCACCAGTTGCATGCACATTTTCCAGTTTGAAGCGCTTCCTAAAACTAGTAAGCCAACCGTGGCTGGCTTTGAATTCCTTCACAGGCTGCCCATCCTTGGCAGAAGGTTTGAAGAGTGCATAGAGGCTGAGAGCCTTTTGCCGTAACATCACGCCATCAGTAGGCACGCGTTTGCGGCTCATGTCTTCAAGCCACAGGTTTAATGCCTTCTCAGTCTTTGCTAAAGCCTTGTCGTGCACCTGGCTTGTCACCTGAGCAGTTATTGGAGCACTTGCTGCCACAATGTCATGGATTTCTCTCTCTCGAACCTTGATGGCATGGACGCTCGATTCACTGTAGCCATATCTGCGTGCCACACTAGAGACCGACATGCCATCTCTCAAGCAGTCCAGCACCGCTACTTTTTCTTGCCGTGTTGGAACCAATCGTTGTTTCTTGTGTTGCGCACCAGCAGAGGGCCCTGGCTTGCGTTTGGGGGCCATGTTTTCTTAATCACCAAGGCTACTCTCAATCTCCAACTGCACCTCCACACGTTCTCCAACGCTGCTCGCACTGACTCCACCTCAGCACCCTTTCCTAAGCTGTACAATGATGGGTGGGATGTCGATAAGGTTTTTTCCCCTCTCCCCCCACCACGCCACACACACAGATTTGGAAATTGCCTATGTTAAATGTGAATAAGCCGTGATCGTACCGCAACTCACTTCATCAGACATATAAAGTACTGTCCTCATTTACAGATGCATGTGTATGTACCGGATCGGTCGTGGGTGGGTGTGATTGTAAAAGTTGAGAACATGCAGAGTCACTTAGGCCAAAAGGAAGTGAAGCAAATTAATTAACAATGGTAAAGCAGAGCATGCCTGACGACATCTTGGCATCGGTAAGCCATTTAGGAGCAAAGGAAGCTGCAGGCCACTGTTACATCTAGCTTGCTAGAACGAGCAACAGCTCTCCAGGGTTTCAGCCAGAGGACATTCCAAGCCCTACCTGGAGATGCTGTGGACTGAACCCACGACCTTCCGAATGCAAAGCAGAAAATCTGTCACTGAACTACAGACTTTCCTCTTCCACATAAATGGGGTGGGAGGGATCCACTATAATTGAAACTCTCTGCTGCTTTTCCTGCAAAAGGCCAACAAAACTACCCTTCGGGAAACAGCAGCACTTATTCCTAGCATCATTCAGCTTGAATATCATCGCTTCACTGTCTATAGAAGCCCCGCCTTCGCAGCTGGGAGGAACGTCTGGGAACAACTAAGGGCACACGCTACGTAACAGCTTCAGTGGCTGTTCTGCGCATGCCCGCGCGCATGCACATCACCAGAGACGCCAAACTAAAACACGGCCCGTTCTATAGCGCTTTCCCTTTTACCTCAGACAACCCAGTTCAAGCTGCCAGGCTGGCGAGTTTAACACCCCTCGTTAGGAACGCGCCTCCTATAACCCAGCGGAGGTCTTCCATTCCATGGTTTCCCCCTCGGTCCGCGCCGCTAACCACCCACCTGCATCCAGCGCAGCCACTCCGAGACCATCCGCGACACCCGACACCTGCAAAAGCCGACGCTGTCCTCCCATTGGCTCTTCCTGCTGCCCATCGATCGCGTCCTGTGTTGTGAGTGGCGCAAGTCCGTGTCGCTAAAAAAGCGCCAAAGCCCGCCTCCTCGTAACAGCCGGTGCCGCCGACGTTGTCAAGAGCGGGGACCGCCCCCCGCTCCCAAGAGCCCTAAGCTCGATGAAAACAAAGTGACACTTCAGGTTATCAATTGAAAGTGAGCGTCGGGGAGGGGGGAAGCAATGTAAATAGAATAGGACAGGGCTCTATAACCTATGTGGAGATGCAGATTCTCCCCCCCCCCGCTTCGCCCCGTATTCTATGCAATGGTGTTGCCACGCATGCGGCTGCTGTAAAGCAGAACTCAGAATGAGCACCGTGCGCAATCTCCTTTTCTTTCTTGTTATACCTCTATATACCCTCCGGAGGGAGATGGCGATTGGTCTGTCGTGTTTTGTGTTTGGCTCCCGATTGGCTGCTGCGTTTCCTCTCCCTCACTAACCTCCCTCCGTCCTCCTCTTTTTCGAACCTTCATCAAAGCAGAGGAGAGAGTGAGCCACGCGCACTGCGGAGCTTTCACTTTTTTGCCCCATTCCCCCTCAAGTTTTGCTGCTGCAGTTCTGCAGCGCGGAGTGCTTTTCACCTGATTACTCGGAAGCAAGCCCTGTTGAGTCCAGCGGGGCTTCCTGCAGCCTTGGAGTCTCCTGGCTTAAAAAGTTTTGGGGGCAATCCTAAACCACGCCTATACTCTGAAGGAAGCCCCGTTGAATTCAGTGAGGCTTACTCCCAGGTAAGTGGGGTTAAGAATTGCAGCCATAGGCTAGAGCATCTCTACGCCCAGTGCCCAGCACTTCGCATGTTGGAGTCCAGCCAGCCCCGTTCCCTCCTGGAAGCAGCAGCGCTATTTCTCCCCAGGAGAGCAACGCGTTCTCCCCTCTCCTTAAAAAAAACCTGCCTCGATTGCTAGCAAAAGAAGGGAAACAATTTGTCTATTCGTGTACATTTTGGCACATTGTCAGCTGCAATCTCTCTAAGTAATGCCAAGAGGAGCAGGCTTTGAAAATTGCAAGGGGTCCCACTTGAAATCCAGTCCTTGAGAGAAGACTTTTGGGATGCATTTGCATTTAAATCCTTTATTCCCTTGCCTCAGTAGTTCCTAATCCTAAACACACCTGATTGGCAGTAAACCCCATTAAATTGAATGGGGCTTACAGAATTGCAGTCTGGGCAGAGGAGGCGTTTGTTTACGCTGGAGAAAAGACAGAGCATCATTCTATTTATATGATTCTGATCTTGCCCCTTCCTTCAATGACCTCACATGGAGAGGGGCTTAATCCATGTTGCATTCACAACAACCCTGCGAGAGACTGAAAGATGGTCATTCACACAACATCCTAACTCGAGTGAGGATTTGAACCCAGAACTCACTGGCCCAAGAGTTCTGTCAGCCTCCCGTTTCTCTCCCCATTCCGCCACGTGTGTACCCCTTGGACTGACGTTTTAAAACATATGTTCCGGTGTGCTGTGGCTTCCTTGGAGCGTCTTGCTATGGAGAGAGTACGTTGGGCCTTTTCCTATGGCACCTGGGTCCCTCGCCGTGAGGACTGGTTGCTGTCCATGTGCGTCGTACAGCCTGAAGAGAGAGAGCGCATCGAACAGTTTGTCTTCCGGCGCGATGCCAAGGCTGCAGTGGTATATACATATATTTATGCTCTTATTTTAAGATATACTTCGCTGAGATGAATATCTCTCATCTCTTAGTTATTTTAGCATAAAGGTGGTGCTTCTAGACAAAGGCTTTTGCAAGTGAGAGATGCACTGAACCAATAGAGTCTGCCCATATATACTGTATGCTGATAACTGTAATTATTATTCTTTATTATTTATACCCCACCCATCTGGCTGAGTTTCCCCAGCCACTCTGGGCAGCTTTCAATTGAGTGTTAAAAACAGTACAGCATTAAATATTAAAAACTCCCCTAAACAGGGCCGCCTTCAGATGTCTTTTAAAGATAAGATAGCTGCTTATTTACTTCACGTCTGAAGGGAGGGCGCCACTACCGAGAAGGCCCTCTGCCTGGTTCCCTGTAGCCTCACTTCTCGCAATGAGGGAACCGCCAGAAGGCCCTCGGCGCTGGATCTCAGCACCAAACTGCACATCAGCAAAGCGTTGGCTCCAGGGTTTGGGGCGTTTGGGCCTTCATTGAGTTTCCTTAAATGGAGGATTCTTTTAGCCTGCTTTTGATCTTGAATACTTGCAAAATGAAAATGACAGGGTGGTGGGTCCTCTCTTGTCTATTGCCACTCTCTAGAGCAGGGGTTGGGAACTGTTTTCAGCCCCAAGGGCCACATTCGCTTATAAGCAACTTTCTGGGGGCCGAAATCAGTGGTGGTCAGGGCCAGAAGCAATGATGGCAGAGCAAAGAACACTTAATTTTGCCTTCGCACATAAAAGAGATCATGGAATCATAGTTGGAAGGGACTATCTAGTCCAAGCCCTTGCAACGCAGGAATCTTTTGCCCCACGTGGGGCTGGAACCCACAACCCTGAGATGGAGTCTCATGCTCTACTGACTGAGCTATCCAGTTTTCTAGTTTCTACAAAAACTGAAACACTCCTCTCTGTATCCTCCATCAAGACAAGCAGGAGCGAATATCAGAGTTCAAGGACACATTCCAGCCTGGCAAAAATACTCAAGGAGGGTACAAAGCAAGCCCAGTGAGGGCTTTGGCCTGGGGAAAGGGGTGTGGCCTCAAGCATTCTGAGGGCCAGATAGATCCCTGGAGGGCCACATTCAGTCCTTAAACTTAAGTGTCTCTAGCCCTGTCCCAGTGGCCAACCCCACTTGGCTATATCAAAAGGATGCAGAATAATAATAATAATAATAATAATAATAATAATAATTTATTATTTATACCCCACCCATCTGGCTGGGTTTCCCCAGCCACTCTGGGCGGCTTCCAACAGAATACAATACAATACAACTAAAATACAATAACCTATTAAACATTAAAAGCTTCCCTAAACAGGGCTGCCTTCAGATGTCTTCTAAACGTTTGGTAGTTATTTTTCTCTTTGACATCTGGTGGGAGGGTGTTCCACAGGGCTGGTGCCACTACCGAGAAGGCCCTCTGCCTGGTTCCCTGTAACTTGGCTTCTCGTAGTGAGGGAACCGCCAGAAGGCCTTCAGCGCTGGACCTCAGTGTCCGGGCAGAACGATGGCGGTGGAGACGCTCCTTCAGGTATACTCAAGGAGGGACTAACCATCTCTTTCCATCGTCATTTTTAATTTTTAAATTAAATTTGATGGTCAATTTATCCTGCCCAGGGCAGCACAAAGCGACTTACAACCCACCAACCAAACAGGCAGACAAACCGTCCCACAAAGGTATATTAAAATCAAGAGGAAATAGAAATACATAAAAATCACCCCACCCGCTTTTAAAAGGCCACACCAATTAAAGGCCAAAGGCCTGGTTATAAGGGTAAGTTTTTGCCTAGAGATATATAATGATGGCTCCAGGGGAGCCTCATCTTGGCTGGGACCAGCTGTCATTTAGCTCCTCTCCTCCCAGAACTGCCCCTACAATGGTAATGTCTCCTGGTCGTTTTATAACTTTATTATGTAACAGAATAAAAGAGTTTAAAGGAGGAGGAGACGTAGATGCCAGGCTCTTCGGTGGCATCCATGCATGCTCTGTAATGTCTAGTTCCAGCCGACGTTTTAAAATAAATGAAATGTAAATCGGCTTGAGTCACTGCAGAACTGTGTGGTATGATCCATTCTAATCAGCTCTGTAGGCAGATGTGAAAATGGGATTTCTGTTTGCTGCTTATATTATCTCCTGTGCTATAGGTGGTGCTGGTGCTCAACGGATAATATATGAGTGCAATCTTTCTAATACTTTTTTTAAATCATAAAATTAGCCCTGGGAGGGGTGTGTGGAGTGCAAACCCATTGCTAAATCATAGAGAGCAATGCCTATGAGTTCCTCATTAAATGCATCTTTCGAAAATGTAATAAAAGTGAACCATTTCCTGACAAACTAAGGACCAGCCATCGGTTTTTCCTGTTCATGTGTATAGACAGTAAGTTCCATCATTGCTACCATTCTATTTCAGTGTATTAATTAGAGCAGCTTCCCCAACCTGGTTCCCTCCAGATATTTCCATCATTCCCTGTCAGCATGGCTGTGGGAGTTGCAGTCCGAAGCATATGAGGGCTGGGTGGGAGGGTATAGGATGGATGAGAGAGTCTTGGGTTTAAGCCAAGCCTACCTCTCAGGGTTGCTGTGAGTATAAAGTAGGACAGCCCCTGTTTCCGTCTTTCTTGCAGGAAGAGTGGAATACACACACACACACACACACACACACACGCACACACACACACACACACACAGTGGTACCTCGGGTTACATACGCTTCAGGTTACAGACTCCGCTAACCCAGAAATATTACCTTGGGTTAAGAACTTTCCTTCAGGATGAGAACAGAAATTGTGCACCGGTGGCGCGGCATCAGCAGGAGGCCCCATTAGTTAAAGTGGTGCTTCAGGTTAAAAACAGTTTCAGGTTAAGAACGGACCTCCGGAACGAATTAAGTACTTAACCCGAGGTACCACTGTGTGTGTGTGTGTGTGTGTGTGTTTATATATACAGTGGTACCTCGGGTTAAGTACTTAATTCGTTCCGGAGGTACTTAACCTGAAACTGTTCTTAACCTGAAGCACCACTTTAGCTAATGGGGCCTCCCGCTGCTGCTGCACCACTAGAGCACGATTTCTGTTCTCATGCTGAAGCAAAGTTCTTAACCTGAAGCACTATTTCTGGGTTAGCGGAGTCTGTAACCTGAAGCGTATGTAACCTGAAGCGTATGTAACCCGAGGTACCACAGTATATATAGATAGATGATAGATAGATAGATAGATAGATAGATAGATTAGATTAAGACCCCTCAAATGTGTATGTGTGTGTGGATTATTATTCTGTTCTGTTCTATTCTATTCTTTATTCTATTATTATATTATAAAGTACCTGTAATATTTGGCCCAACTTGTAATAATAATAATAATAATAATAATATTTTATTTATATCCCGCCCTCCCCAGCCGAAGCTGGGCTCAGAGCAGCTAACAACAGTAAAAATAACACAGTTTACATAAAATCACTATCAGTTAATTGAAATACATTCAGAATCACATTAATGGCAACCATTGGGCTAGAGTTCTATGAGGATTACCAAAGGTGTGTTTTAATTCTGTTTTTAAAAGCATATAAAGCATAACTGTGCTCTATAATGAACTGTCAAAACATTTTTGAAGGCAAATGGTATCTTAATATATTCCCCCCTCCCCCCCTTTTATATAGAACAGTTACTTGCTGTGCATTATTTGTTCATTTTGCCTCATAGGCTGGCCGGCTGCTGATAAGAAAATTAATTGCAGAGAAGCTGAAGATTCCTTGGAATGAAATAAAGTTACGAAGGACTTCAAAAGGCAAACCTGTCCTTGCAAATGACTTAAGCAGTGCCCATTCCAGCTTCAGCTTTAATGTCTCCCATCAAGGGAATTATGCTGTTCTTGCCGCCGAACCTGACTGTCAAGCTGGCATTGACGTTACGAAGACGAGCATGCCAGGTAAGTGTACTATAGTCACTCTTTAAAAAAATCATTAATAATCTACAGTGTCCTAGGACAGGAAAGAGAAGCCACTTTGCTCATTTATTGCAACACACGCTGTAGAGGGATTTTTTTGAGGTGCCAGCGATTGGCTGAGCTTTCCTTCGTTCACAGTCTCTGACTGCCATTGGCTGAATTGTTCCAATCTTAGAAATTCAGGAATAATAATAATTTATATTTGTACCCCGCCCATCTGGCTGCGTTTCCCCAGCTACTCTGGGCGGCTTCCACAAAGACCAAAAATGCACTAAGATGTCACACATTAAGAACTTCCCTGAACAGGGCTGCCTTCAGATGTCTTCTGAATGTCAGGTAACTGTTTATCTCTTTGACATCCGATGGGAGGGCGTTCCACAGGGCGGGGGCCACTGCCGAGAAGGCCTTCTGCCTAGTTTCCTGTAGCTTTGCTTCTCGCAGTGAGGGAACCACCAGAAGGCCCTTGGCGCTGGACCTCAGCATCGGGGTAGAACGATGGGGGTGGAGACGCTCCTTCAGGTATACTGGGCCAAGGTCATTTAGGGCTTTAAAGGTCAACACCAGCACTTTGAATTGTGCTTGGAAACATACTGGGAGCCAATGTAGGTCTTTCAAGACTGTTGTTATGTGGTCTTGGCGGCCGCCCCCAGTCACCAGTCTAGCTGCCACATTCTGGATTAATTATAATTTCTGGGTCTCCTTCAAATGTAGCCCCACATAGAGTACATTGCAGTAGTCCAAGCGGGAGATAACTAGAGCATGCACCACTCTGGTGAGACAGTCGGAGGGCAGGTAGGATCTCAGCCTGCATACCAGGTGGAGCTGGTAGACAGCTGCCCCGGATACAGAATTGACCTGTGCCTCCATGGACAGCTGTGAGTCCAAAATGACTCCCAGGCTGCGCACCTGGTCCTTCAGGGGCACAGTTACCCCATTCAGATCCAGGGAGTCCTCCACACCCGCCCGCTTCCTATCCCCCCAAAACAGTACTTCTGTTCAACCTCAATCCATTAGCCTTGGTATAAGGAAGCTGCCTTATACCAAGCCAGACCATCAATTCATCTAGCTCAACATTGCCCACAACACTGTGTGGCAATTGCTGTCCAAGGTTTCAGGAGGGAATCTTACCCAAGGAGATGCCTATGAGACCTTCGGCATGTTTCTAATTTTGTTTGACATGTTTTTATTGAATGTATGCATGTACGTATTGTTACAGAAGTTGGGCGCCACCCGCAGTGGGTTCCAGCCGCTCACCCAGGGTTTGTGCTGCTTTGGAGAATTGAAGACGTGGTGGAGATTGTCGTAGCTTTAAGAAATATTATTTATTCACATATTCACACCTTCAGTCTGTGTGGAGAGAGTCCAGATCTTACAGCAGGCATCCCCAAACTCCACCCTCCAGCTGTTTTGGGACTACAATTCCCATCATCCCTGACCACTGGTCCTGTTAGCTAGGGATGTTGGGAGTTGTGGTCCCAAAACAGCTGGAGGGCTGAGTTTGGGGATGCCTGTCTTACAGCATGGTCATTTCAAGAGGGGCTGGTCCCCCACAGCCATGGAGTCAAAGGCATCTCTCCCAGCCAGCCTGCAGCCAGCCTGCCCAAGATGGATCCCAGTCTTTGTTCTCCCCCTTCCTCTTCCCAGCACACCTTGCTCTAAAAACTCTATTTTCTTGTCACCCCAAACACACACCCCATCACCATGGCAACCTCTTTCTGCCTTGGCCAAGTATTCCTCTCAGATGGGTCATCAACACTTTTTGTCACGTTAATACCTCTAACCTAGGTGAGGCCCTGGCTTGGAACAGAAGCTTAGCTTGGGTTTTTCCACTTGACTGCAATTTTCCCTTCAGTACTCCAAATATTCAAAATCCTGCCATTTATAATTTCTAGGGTTTAGTCCCTAACAGTATTTATTTGCCCATTTAAGGTATTTCTACCTCACCTTTGAGCGCTGTGGGTAAAAGCCTCAGCACCTAGGGCTTGCCGATCGAAAGGTCGGCGGTTCGAATCCCCGCGGCGGGGTGCGCTCCCGTTGTTCGGTCCCAGCACCTGCCAACCTAGCAGTTCGAAAGCACTCCCGGGTGCAAGTAGATAAATAGGGACCGCTTACTGGCGGGAAGGTAAACGGCGTTTCCGTGTGCGGCTCTGGCTCGCCAGATGCAGCTTTGTCACGCTGGCCACGTGACCCGGAAGTGTCTCCGGACAGCGCTGGCCCCCGGCCTCTTGAGTGAGATGGGCGCACAACCCTAGAGTCTGTCAAGACTGGCCCGTACGGGCAGGGGTACCTTTTTTTTTTTTTACCTCACCTTTGAGCAGAAAAAGCTGGGGTGTGGCAAATACCAGTACTAAGATGGTCCCTGGCAACAGGCTTTATAATCTTAAAAGACATGACAGATGAGGGGGAAAAAATGAAATGGCAGTGAAAAGTAATCTCAAGCACCAAGTTCTTATAATACAGTTGTATGTACTCTGCCTTGGGCTAAGCAATTTATGTAAACAAAAAAACCAAACTATACCAATATGATTCTTTGGGAAACGGCTGGGCTGAACCCCCCCTCCCCCAAATTCTGTGGAAGGGTGTGTGTGTTTTTTTCCTTCCAGAAAGGAAAGAGGCTTTATGTTCCAAAAACTAGAGTTACAAGGGATTCGTATTTTTCTTTATCTTAAGAGCAGCCACAGGGTGGCACTATTGATCTGTGGAAAATCTTTCCATCTGTTCCGATATTCGTATGAAGCCATCTGCAACATTTAAACCGCCACATTGAAAAGGGGAGGGTCGTCATGATATGTGAAAACCATTTTGGCACCCAAATAACGCTATAATAACCAATCCATTTTCTCTTCTCTAAGAACTGTATCTCTGTCAGGGAACGAACAGGGAATTCTCAGCACCTTTGCTACACTACAGCTCCCAGGAATCTTTGGGGCAAACCATGATAATCTAACTGGTATAGAGCAGGTATTTTTGTAGTGTAGATTTGTTCTTCAGACCAGGCTGCTTAATTACCGGTACTTAGTTTTGTCTTTACAGTGGTACCTCAGGTTAAGTACTTAATTTGTTCCGGAAGTCCGTACTTAACCTGAAACTGTTCTTAATCTGAAGCATCACTTTAGCTAATGGAGCCTCCTGCTGCCGCTGCACTGCTGCTGCACAATTTCTGTTCTCATCCTGAAGCAAAGTTCTTAACCTGAAGCACTATTTCTGGGTTAGCGGAGTCTGTAACCTGAAGCGTATTTAACCTGAGGTACCACTGTATCTCTTTTTGGTGGGGGGTGGAGAAGTATAAGACATGCTAATTTCCCAGTGATTCTATACCGTTCTCGATGCCTCGCCAACACTCAATAACTGCTTTTATTTACAGAGTGCTGGTAAGCTCCTGTGGAGATTGGTGATAATCTAGTGCCATGCCTTATGCAAAGCTATAAGAAATCGAATCAGGAACCTAAAAATTCATTAAAAGTAAACTTTTTGGGTGAAACCGTCTAAAGCAGTATTTCCCAAACTTGGGTCTCCAGTTGTTTTTGAACTACAATTCCCATCATCCATGACCACTGGTCCTGCTAGCTAGGGATGATGGGAGTTGTAGTACATAAACAGCTGGAGACCCAAGTTTGGGAAACACTGGTCTAAAGTAAGAGCCACTTCATAATGTTTAAAAATCAGCAGGTACGGAAGACCGCCAGGAAAGATAAGCTTTAACTGCATTCTAAAAGGCAGGCTAAAATGGTGCAGAGATTTTTCCTGAATGGTCTGCTGCCATCAACTTCCAGCGTCACCTTCAGTGTCCTAGCTGCAGATGCAACACTATATCTCCCCTTCTGCAAAACTTTGGATTGCAGTCTAAAGGGATGAATGACCAAGGCCAGCTCTGATCATTAATGTCCTAGTCTCTGCCAGATTACTGTTACGTGCTGTCGGAGGGGCTGCCTTTAGTAACCTCAAAATCTGCTCTGCAAGGTTAGGTGAGCTGGAGGCCCTGTGGATTTCTGTTGCACAAGCAACTGCACGTCCCAAGTTAAGCACTATTTGAGTCTTCTAAATTGCGGCGAGAGTTGAGCACAGGGGCTGTTTGCCTCCATTGAGACCAACGCAACTTCAAAGTAACTAACATGGAGAAAATAATGTAAATGGCTTTCCGGTGCTTAAATGTTGCTCCGTACAGAGAAGAGTTATCTGCATCTGTATAATATGCATGCTGCCATTTCCGTTCACTTTTTGATTAATGGGCTTTTCAAGGTTCTGCTGTGAAAAAGCTGATAATGGAAGCAGAAAGTATTTTCCTAGGGGAGAGAGAGTGAAAGAAATTTCGACTCCGCTCTAAACTGCTTGCTTATCTAGCATGCTACTGTTGTAATAGCCTTGCCTAAGGAGCACGGGAAGCTGGCGTCACGCAAGCCAGTGTAAATTAAGCCGGAGTAAAGATAAACCAGAGCCAAATTCCGATCAGCAATGAGGCTACAGCTGCATGAGCCACCTAAGGATGGCAGAGAGGAAGAAAGCCTTCAATATTGTGTTTGAGTTACACCACCCTTTTTGCAGGCTTAATTTATACCAGGTTGCCAGGTCATGTGACTCAGCTGAACCAGGCTTAGGATCCAGCCTAAGTCCCCGCTGCCATGGTCTCGCCCCCCGCTTCACCCCCCCCTTTCCAATGCTTACACTGGGCTGAAGATTGAAGATCTTCTGGGCTCAGCTCAGCTAGCTAGGTCCTGGCTGAGCCAGGATGAGAGAGATATACCGGCCAAGGATGAGAGAATTTCATCAGTATAACCCAGCTGGATCCTAACCCATCCATCTTGCCAGATAGGATTGTTCCTTAAGTCCCTCTTTGGTGCAATTAAAGCATTTTACTTCCTATTGCTACTGCTGCTTTTTAATTTAATTTAATTTTATTTTGCATCATGATCCCACCAGCATATTCCATCAGAGGTCTAACTGAAGTATGGTGAACTCTTCAGTCACAGCATGAGAAGGTTTCC